TAATTTTTCCTAAGAAGCTTTCCATGCTGAAAGATCCTATTTAAATCATATTTGATATCATGTCAGGGATATCAGGATATACAAGATATACAGGTTAGTAAACCTGTGCTATAATTCACTTCCTTGTATAAATTCCAACTGTGTGATGAAATCCATGAACTCTAAAGAAAAACTTTCCCCAAGTTTCCCCCACTTCTAGTCTTTTTGCTACTCATCTCTTTATAGTTTCACTGTTGATGACGGTATCATCTAGTTGGAGTAAAGAATCTATCTTAGAATTTTTAATACCTTAGTATCCCTGGGTCTATTTCAATTGTGCTAAAGATCCCGGATACATAGTATCTACTTGAGCAAAGCTAAAGGTTTAACTCTAACACACTCCTAAGTTCCACAAGAGCAAATGAAACAAAGGTCAGTTCCTCACATGTGCCATGCTCTGCCCACCAGGACAATACTTTGAAATACAAATAGCTTCCTTGTTACTATGTTCATTTGATTTTCCATTTTTACTTTTGTTGTTGTTGTTTTGTAGGGAGAAAAAAAATTCATACTGAGTATTCCTGGAACTTGCTCTTATTGAATGGACATAAGAGACTTTGTTACATCCAAAATGACAAAAACAAGCATTGTATTTACAGAAATGTGAGACATTAATATCTTTTTCTTTCCTTTTCTTTGTTTTTTTGTTTTTGGTTTTGGTTTTGGCTTTTTGGGGGTTTTTTGGCGGGGAGGGTTTGGTACCAAGGATCAAATTCACAACCTCACACTTACCAGGCAGGCACTGAGCCTCTGAGCTATATTCCCTGCCTGACATTAGAAATTCTATCCTTAACTATTTCAAGTCTATATATAAATGTAATAATTTATAAGATTCACAATGCAGAGTGAACTGGCTATTAGAATTTTTGTTATAGTCTTTAATAGAAGAGAGAGAAAAAGTGACCATTTGGGATCATAGAAAGTTCAATTTTAGCAGCTATCCTGAGACATCTATAAAGTAGCTGTAGAGAACAAAATATGTCTCACGAGGAATAAATGCTGCCTTTGGATTATTTCAGTTCTGTTCTCACATCAAGAAAAATAATCATTAAGGGTAAATGCGTACACTGTTGTATTTTTAGCTTTTCTGAGAAGAAATCTATTATTTCTTTCATTTCCTGGATGAGGAAGGAAATATCTTCTTATATTCTAACAATATAAACAGTTCTGCTGATTTTTCAAATTATAGGAAAACACACCATATTTTATTGTGAATGGGGGTAAATTACAAATCACTGAAGAAAAATTTCAATCTCTAAAATTCTATTTTAGTTATAAATAAAACTAGTGACAACATACTTTGGTGTGCAGTGACTCAAAATAGTCCTGCAAGGACTTTGGCACGTTTGAGGCTGAGGTTTATTTCTGTCTGAGTCACTGTTACAGGATCAGAACAGAGGTTACTCTGATTGTCCTATGTCATTTTCCCACCCTGATGCCCAGGAAAATCAGAACAAACCAAATTACACAAAATGGGTTTGCAAGCAAAACAGTGGAGATCTGAGACTACAAAGTGTGCTGTATTTCTTTGCTTTCCCATTTCCAGACAAAATCCCCAATACCCACAACACAGAAGAAATGAGATTTAATTTGGTTCACAGTTGTAGAGGATTCAGTCCCTGTTTAGCTGTCTCCAAGGCAGAAATATCATAGCAAAAGAAGGTAATAGAGCAAAGCTGTGCATGGTGGCCAAGAACAGAACACAGAAACAGTGCCGGAGCGGATGCAAATTATGTACAGTAATATCTCAGTCCACAGACACTTCTGTCTGCAAGCAATTCAGTTTGCAAGCAAACGTATTGAACAAAATTTTGTTTCCACTTTCAAACTCCACATTTTTAATAAACATGACGAAGGTCATCTTGCCCACACAAACACAAACACAGCCATCTTCCTTAAAATTGTAAAATAAGTTGTTTGTAAACAGAAGCATCTCTGTACAGCACCCAAGGTCATGCCTCTGTGACCAACAGCACACACCCAGAAGAGTAAATGTGTGTTTTACTGATCCCTTGGGCAGATCTCAAATCAATCACGTTGGCAATCCATTTTAACTATGACGGGCACTGGGCAGACATAAACAATAGAAATTTCATTCCCTACAGAGGGAATTTTTGGTAATGTAAGCATATGATAAACTCAATAACTTAGGTTGTCACCAACATTTCTACCATTCCCCACACCCTCCAATCAAAAAGCAGCATAATAATACCACTTTCTAACATCACTACTGGCAATATATCTCCTATCCACTTCTTGAGATAGGTGATCCATAAATAACCAGCCAAATAGACATCAAAAGCCTTCACTTGATCCCAGCCACAATGTTAGTATAATATTCCTAAATGGTTATTAACTCCTGACACATAAATAGAAACAGAATTATTAATTACCTTGGACTAATTCTTAAACAATAAATGAGGTAAAATCTATTTCTTGTGACTTAGATGCTTGTCTCAGCTCACTGTCTTTATTTAAAGACATTTTTAAGCCATTATTTATAAAAGATACTTGAGTTTTTTAAATTGTTGCTTTACTTAAAAAGTTATTTTTGATTCACTGAAAAATTCTTGACATACCAAAAATCTTTTGAGATTCATAGAGCAAGCTATGTCATGTTCTTGTCTCTGCAAAATCTTACATTAAAAAATGTAATGTATACATTAAAAATGAAAGCTTCATGAAAACTATTTCAAGTTATAATTGGTAATGAGATACAAATAAGAAAACACTGAAAAATAACATTTTTATCAAAGAGACTCATTCATAATGGACTACTCATTTAGAGGTACAAGTCTAATTCATGTAACTGCTTGATTTGACATTATTGATCTCTGATACAAGAATAAAATAATTGACTATTTTCATGTTGATCCAGCTTGTAGGGTTATTGTTTATATTTTAAATAATCAAAACTTTCAGCTATTTTAATACTAATTTGTCTTTTAGGATGGCTTCAGCTGCAAATGAAAGAACATCTTACTTGAACCAGCTCAATATTTAAAAATATATTGGCTCACCTCTGGGAAGACCAAACCAGGGTAGGCTCTTGTTTGATTTGATTAAAAGATTTCTGCACAGTCTTCTATGGGTTGGTGTTATATTCAGGATGTAACTTTTTAGCATCTGAGTAAGGCAGGATGTAGAAATAATTTGCTGGTTTCCCTGAAAAAAAAAAAAAAAAAAAAAGACCAACTTGTCTGGAAGTCTTCAACAAACTTCTCTCATAACTCTTTACTCAAATTGTATCAGATGCTCTTTTCTACAATAATAATGTAAAAATAAAACAAATTATTTTCTATTGCTTGGCAGAGTCATTTTCTTACAGTAATAGGCTTCAGTAAAGAGTTACTGGAGGAAGGAGAAGGGGGCAATGAGTGCGGAGTAGGCAGCCAATGACTGCCATAGAGTAACACCTTAGCACTTTACTTTCCTAGAGAAAATGAATGTGATTACCTAGTGCAGAGGGACGATCAGAGGCTGGCATTCCTGGCATTCGGGATGCTACAGTTTTCTAAGCGACCACACGTATTTGCTACAGGACTCATTACTGGACCCCTGACAAGATGTAGGATGAATCCTTTGTCGGGGTAATGGTGAAGTCAGCCTCAGTATATTTGGTTCACATACACAAAGTGGTTTTAAATACAATTCAACTTCATTGGTATTTCATAATAATGACCATGTATTTAACTATTTTAAATTGTACAAATGAATTATTCTCTAAAAGAGTTATATCATTTCAAGGATTGAAAATCAGATTGAAAAATCACTAGTAATTCTACCTTGCTAGCTGTCCTTTTTCCCCCACAAGTACATTAAAATAACCTCTAAATATTCTTACATAATTTTCATACAGCTTATTCTCAATACCTGCATAAAATACTGACACTCATATGCACATAGTATGAGTATATTCTCAATATGTAGTAGGAAAAATAACTGTAAAATATTTGGCTATTTCTTATATTTTTATTATTTTCAGGACCTGAGGAGGCTAATTCATTTTTAATGAATTTTAAAAATAAGGTCTATAATAAATTATTTCCATATAAATTATTTTTAAATGTGCAAAATCTAAATAAGGACAATTTAAAATTCTGAAAAGGAATCAGAGTAGAAACAGAGGGAGAGATAGCCCATGTTGATGAACATGAAGGGTCAGTGTTGTCGAGAGGTGAGTTCCTCCTAACTTGATCTGTAGATTCATTGAAATCCATTCAGAATCACAGAAAGCTACTTTGTAGGTATCAGAAAACTGATTCTAAAGATTACATTGAGAGGCAAGAGTCCCACCACAGCCAACACAATGTTATAGGAAAAGAACACAGTCAGGGCAGGTGTCCTACCCCACTTCAGGACTTAATGCAAAGTGATGGAAACAGAAGAGTAAAACAGAATACATAAGCTAGAGGTAGGCCTCCAAAAGTACAGTCAACTTTCCCCCACAAGGAACAACAGCAATAGCATCGAGAAAAAAACAATCTTTTCAGTACAAGATGCTGAAACGAATGAACACACACATACACAAAAGAAGACGGAGACAGAGAATCTAGACACAGATTTCATACTCCACAGGAGGTTAAATCAAAAATGTTATTGATAATTGAACAAGTCTTGTGTGTGGATGACTGGAAGTACATGAAATTTGTCTGTACATTTTACTCAATTTTGCCAAGAATCCAAAACTTCTCTGTTATGATTATATCTAGATGTCCCCCCAAAGGATCTTATACTCATAGGTTGGGCTTTTGGGAGATGATTGGACTATGGGGTGTAATAGTCACTAGTTGATTAGAGAACTGATGAGTTTATAGATAAATGAGATTCTTGATGCAAAAGCTCACTGGAGAAGCTGGGTCACTGGGGGTGTAGCATGGAAACATGTACTCTCTCCCCCTCTACCTTCCATGATGCCCTCTTCCCTTGATTCCCACCTTTTTTTTTTTCTTCTTTTTTTACAGGGGAGAGTGCAAACAAAGTCCCCCACTACCACAAATCATGTAGTCGAGTTTCCCACATTTGGGGAAATCATAGGGATCAGCACATCTGGAGTTCAATAGATAAGTCGTGTCCTGGGAAAACCATCTTCGTGATCATGGTATCTCCCCTGCCAGGTAAGAATTTGATTCTCCCCTTCTACTTCCTGGATGCTGAGCCATAAGCAAGCTGCCTCTGCCATGCAGCCCTGCCTGGAGCCAGCCAAGTATGGACAGAAACCTCTACAAACTATGAGCTAAAATGAACCATTCCTCCTTTAACTTGTGAGTGTTTGCTGTTGTGGCTGGGCAAAAAGCAAGTAACTAAGACATATTTTAAACTATTTCATTAATTTTTAAACATAAAAGTAAAGTCTTTGCTCTTGTAAGACAAATATAACAACATAATTGCCTATTTCTTACCCAAATACTACTTTTCTACAATAAATGCATATAAATAAAAGAATATAGAAAGGATATAGATAAGAACCATGCTGATTTTGAATGCCAAAAACAAAAAGCAATCAAAAACATTATTAAAGAAGTGTACTGCACTAGGAATCAGAAGATATACTACAGAACAGTGCTCAGGAAGTCTATCATACTCCTTTTGACTTTTAAATCTACCGCATTCATATACATGGAGCCCACTTTAGTATCTTGAATAACTATTTGTAAGAAGGCAATCTGTAATCATCAACTAGTGATTTCTTACTGTTTATTTTTTTTTCTTTGAAAGTATGTATTATTTTTACCCATTTTCTGTTTTGTTTAGTCTTTCTTTAAATAAAATTTTTTTAAAAAGACACTACAGTACCCAGTGCTGATCCCGGAGTGTCATGATGTGAAATCCAAAAATACTAGTATTCTTTGTTCAGAGTGATTTTAGCCTGCTTTGGTTCATTTAATCTCCACATAAATGAAGACATGGATAACTGCATGTATGTTTAAGTATATAGGATTGATAACCATATTACTAAATTTTTGTTGGATAGTTGAACAGAACTGTTTGCAGTCTCACTGTTTGAATTCCCAGTTTATATGTTCCACTATTGTATCTTGAACAACTATTTGTAAGAGGACAGTATGTAAATATCAACTAGTGATTTCTTACTGTTTATCTTTTCTTTGAATGTATGTATTATTTCTACCCATTTTCTGTTTTGTTTAGTCCTTCTTTAAATAAAATTTTTTAAGGAAGACATATATATGGAGCCTAGTATAAAATAAGAAAGTACTCACTACCCTACCTGATGCAAAGAAATGAGGAGATTAAAGTTGGTAACACTAGATAGTTCTTCAACTAGCACTCATTTTTTTCTGGTTGCAAAAATAATATAGCCTCACTTTATCAGTTTTTAAAATTCAGAAAATAATATAAAATTTGACTGTAAGATATCTATAAAATGACTATTCAGATAATTTTAATATTTTCTTTACTGTGTCTATAATTTATACTTTCAGTGGACTAAAATTAGGTAAATATTGGATACATACTTTAATTTCACGTTATGAGGTTTAATGTCAAGAAACAGCACACAAATTTAAACTTAATTGACTTATTATGATAGCCAGTGCATTGTGTCAAGGTAGAAAATCAAAGAATGATCTTCAGTATATCTTCATCAAATATTTCTCTATGAAGCAAGCAATAATACCTTGGAACTGTACAAAGGACAGTTGTCAGTGCATTCTACAGAACTTTCCTACAGTGGAAAACTCCAGGGTCAGAAGCCCACACAATAAGCACCCACCAACCCACTTACCATCAACTAGGGCATCACCAGATATCAGCCCAATAACCCCTATTTCAGACCCTACCTTGAGTGTGACCTTCCACCCTCTCAGAGAGTAGAATCCTCTTTCTTTGCTACAACTTCCTCAAAATGCTTTATGCAGTGTTAGCCTTCAAAAGACAGGCAAAAAACCAGAAATCCAGCAGATTAAAAAGAAAACTTTTCAGTCCTGAACAGTTTTGCATTTCATGTAGCAAATTAGTCTTGGTTAGTAGTATAGAAAGAAAGTAGAATATCATCTTCTTCGTTTTTAAAAACATGATTTAGAAACTTCTCTCTAAAATGCAGAAAACTATTCTATAATCTGAGTGTGACCACTGTCCATGCAAGGAAATAAACACAACTTTCCTTCCAGGCATTGATGCAATGTGTTTGTGTTTGGGATGCAGTTGGAACATCAGTATCACCAATTTTTATCTCTGCCTTGACCTATTTTTGTAATTCTATAATTCATTTCATTGCTTTAGTTGAGCATTTGTGCTTAGGCTGCACCTTGGATTGGGACTTCGTGGTTACCTTTGTGCACTGTGACAGCTGATGAAAGCAGCACGGCAGGATCTGGAATCTGGATGAGAGGGCAGTCTCTATTTTATCTCTCAAAAGTCATGTGACTTTAGATAAGTGACTGAATATTTCTAGCCTTCTCTGTGAAAATGTATGCTGTCAAGACTTCTTGGTAAAGGTATTTGAGTTTCCAATGAGATAATGTTTATTTGCAGTTCCCTCACTTCCCCTCATACAAATGCCAGCATAACTTCCTTTCTTAAACCCTTGAATGGTTCCAATTTCAGAGCAGAAGAAAGAACAAACTGTCTATGAAATCTTTTCATTATCTTGACCTAATTCTATCCAGTCTCATCTCCTTCGTCACTCTCCTGGCACTCAGTGTTCCGGAAACACTACCTCACTCCTCAGACCTGCTTTATTTTCAGATATGAAATGAGGATAAAGGTCAGGATAACTGTCTTCTCAAAACATCTGATACCACAAGGCAAAGTCTTCCAGAGACTACCTAAAATGGCTTTTTAGGGTAGGAATGAGAACTACCAAATCTATTTTTTCTGTGCTATAGATATTGACAAAGATCCTTTGAATGCCATAAATGTAATATTAATAATAACACCAATGGTGTTGTTATTATGAGTTTATATCTGGTTTTCATAAAAAGTCATTTGCTTATATTAAAGCTGTAGCCATTTCTTAATCAGCAGCTGTTGAGCCCTGTTTGGTTAACTCAAACTGGAGCCAACAGCAGATGGAAAGACAACCTGGCATCTGGCTTTGGCTCTGCCGCAGAATTGCCAAGAGAAATGCAAGCATCTTTTGACACTCAACTCTTTGCTTATCACATGAATGGCTTTGCTCATGGCTCCAGAAATAGTTGAAGTTGACATTCAAGTGTCACAAAATGCTTGACCAGAGGGCAAATGTCAAACCATGGTAGCAGGTATGGCTTGTCTTCAAAATGTCTACCAAAATTCATTTCGTAGAAAGGAATTTTGTTCATGTGATACCAACTACTTTTGAACATATTCTATACTTAATTGAAATGTTTATTTATCTGATTTGTAATCATTCCATTATAAACTCTGAAATTATAGAATTATGCTCCATCTTCTATCATTTCTCTTCTCTTTTGTTAATATGATCCATCAGAAACTTGATTGAAAATATGAAGCATTCAGTGTAGTTTGCTGAGCTTTGCTGAGCTTCTCTTAGGCCAAGTTCTAGGACAAGTAATCTATTGAGAGAATGATTAGAGAAATGGAAGGAAGCAGACAGTACCAGATAAATGTTCTAGCTTCAGAAATCTGAATGTTCTGACTTCACAGTCTCTCACAGAGCTCGAAAAGATGAACTGAATCTCACAGGTGATGCCGGCCAGAAGTGAGAAGACTGGGCTCACCCCCAAGCCCAACCCCACTCCTCAGCAAGTAGTCATTGACTATGTGCCTCCCTAATGTCTGCAGGCTGTTTGGCCCCCTCTCTGCCAAGAGAAAATCTCCAGAAAAAGGGAGGCATGAGTTTTAACAGCCAGCTCCCACAGAAGCTGAGGATGGATGGACCAGCCACCTGAAGGGGACACAGAGAGGGCCTGAAGGGTTTGCACTATTCACAGGCCACTGAACTGTATCCTATGAGCTGATGCTGTCATGGTGGGTATGATGCTGTCATCACTGTTTTTGTAAGGAAGCCTATATTCAAGTAACACCTATCTTTAAACTCTAAACTAGGTCATACCTATTCTGAACTCACAAAAATAGCAAGAAACTGATGATTTGGAAAAGATGCAATAAACTCATACCCTAGGATATTACAGATAGCTGATTGTGGCCCATAGGAGCCATAAATCAAAAGATCTGCTACCATTTTTTTTCTTAAGCCATTTTACTTCCATCCTACTATTGCTATTGCAAAGGGTTATTTTCAGAAAACAATTAAAAATAACTTATCCTTCAAGACTCATAACCTGTAGTGACAAAATAGTGATTTATCTCACCAGTTAAAATTCAGTAAAATTCATCTTTATTACACAAGACCTAGCCCAGAATTACAGTCCTGAATGTAAACTACAGCACATTAGATGGCATTTCACTGAAAAATGATTTTATCGTTAAAGTCCAGTGACTTCACAAAACCATTTTAGCCCTGGATTTTCCTCAAGAGTTTTAAAATATCCAATAATGACTGTTACCGGTGTTCTCATATTCAAATACTCGGCAGCACTTTTCTGCCCTTTACCAGATTCTTTAAGTCTAAAATAGACATTGTGATTTTTATTCATCAATTAAGATTTTCACTTTGTTTTACCTCATAGAATGTTTAGAAGACACAGACACCAATTTCCCAGACTACAAAATTCAAACTGGACCACCTCATTTGTAGGTACTCTTTGTATTATCTAATTCCTGAAACATTATAGACCTATCATAATACAGCTATATTAGTCCACTTTCCTTTCACTGCTACAAAATACCCAACACTTATAATTTAAATGGGAGGTTTATTTTGGTTTATGACTTTAGATTATTTAGTCCATGATCAGATGGCTCCAAGACAGAACTGGATGCTGGAAGAGCCTGGCAGAAGAAAGCTACAAGCTGCTCAATCCCTAGCAGCCAGAAAGGAGAGAGAGAGAGAAAGAAAGAGAGAGAGAACTGGGGATGAGAACAACCTTTCCAGTTCAAGCTCCCAATGATATCCCCCCTCCAACCAGGTCCCACCTCTAAGTGTGAGACTTTAAGGGAACATTTTAGATTTAAACCACAGCAATAGCAGGCCTCATGTTAACTAAATAATCTAACAGGTTAACTCCAGACCTCAGAATGACATCAAAGCTTTCTTTAGGG